TCAAATTTTCCCCCAACTTATCACATTTTTGGAGGCCGTGGATCACCAGGACAATGGAAACACCCACAAAATGACCCCAGTTTTCTAAATCAAACACTACAATGTATTTTCTAATAGGCATAATTAGTTATTTTGAACATTTAATTAGTTTTTGCTACAAGATTTTTGGGAAAATGTGGAAAGAAACTTTTTTTTTTTTAAGTTGTCAATTCTATAAGATGTTTCTAACAAACAGCATGTACATACCCAAAAATTACACCCCAAATACATTCTGCTAACTTCCTTCTGAGTATTGGAAACATCACATGTTGTGCACGTGTGAGACTACTTTTCCACAGCCTATCCACATACAGATGGCCCAACATCTAAGTAGCACCTTCAGGCGTTCAAGGGGCACACATAAATTAGCACATCTAATTTTTTTTCTGACTACCTATCATATTTTTTGGAGGTCCCGGAGCACCAGGACAATGGAAACACCCACAAATAACCCCATTTTGGAAAGTTAGAGAAATTTCTAACAAACAGCATGGACATATCCAAGAATTAACCCCAAAAATACATTCTGCTAACTACATCCCGATTAGGGAGATTAACACATGTGTAAGACCAGTTTCAATGTCTGAACAGATTATGTACCTAACATAGCAACCGGCAAGAACAGAAAAATCCACAAACACGGTATAGCAAACAATGTTCTAGTAATGGTTCCTCTGAACGAGTGGTCAGTGAATATAGCATAGTGAGTTTAGCTTCACCTACAGCAGTTTACTTTCCCTAAAAGCCAAGGAAGGCCTAACCTACTTGTAACGTGATGGCTGCCCTCATAGCATGATGCTATGTTCACTGGCTTGGAAAGGAAAGGAGTGCTGAACATCCAGGCAGCAGGCAGGAATATGGTCCCCCTAAAAAGTGCTTGGTCAGTACAGGGAGCAGTAGAGATTTGGTAAGCACAGCCAATGTAATTGTCCAGACATCGACAGGAACATTGGGCCCATAAAAGGGTCCTGGTCAGTACAGGCAATAGGCAGAGATATGGTCAGCACAGCCAAAGTGTCAGGAATGGACTGGCCAGCTATGGTGGGACTCACCTGCCTTTTGATCTGGCAGTACCAGGGCTGGCCAGCGGGTGTTCCCCAGCAATCAGAGACTCAACTTTGCAGCCAGCTAACACCTGTACCTGATTATGCTGGGGTATTTAAGAGGATGGCCAGGAGGACCCACAGACTCTTGCCTTGGTGTGTGTTTGTCCTGGGCCCTGCATCCTGTTTCTGTCCTGCATCCCTGTTTTTCTGTCCTGCATCCTGTTTCTGAAACCGCTGCTTGACTTCTCCTGCTGCTGATCCCGGCTCGCTCCTGACCATCCCTCTGTCTGACCCTCTGTACCCGAAGCTGCTTGCTACCTGTTCTGATCCCTGTGCTTGTGGACCCCCTGACCAATCTCCGCGCTTGCTCCCCCCCCTGTACCTACCTGCCCTATTGATATTGACCCCCAGCCTGCCTGACGACGCTTTGCTTGTATGTACTGTTATCTGTGGTGTGTTTGGTTTGGTTTGTTTTGCACTGTATTATGTTTTAGTATTGCACTGCGTTTATGTTTGGGTATTGTTAGTGTTAATAAAATATATTGGTTTATAACATATTCTGAGGTCTGCGTTTCCCTGCGTCAGTCACCACACATCTCTGGTCACACCTGGGGAGCCCCTGACATTACACAAAAGGCCAATCCTGACCAGAAGTGGCTGCACAGGGTGGGGGGGGGGGGGAAGCCATCTTGGCTTTTGATGATGGGAAGGATGGATCTGGATGAGGTTGAGTATTTATCTCTGCTAGTGCTTGATGACAGAGAGTAATGCTTATCAGAACTCTGAAGGAGTATCCCCCCGGGATGAACTGCTAGAATGTATAACGGCTCGCTCATGTTTCTAGTAATCAGGGCACAGATTTCTCTATGGTGCAGCCATTGATTCAGGTTTGTGGTTTGAGTTTGGTTTTCATCTGGTTCCCCCAATGCAGGGATTGAATATTTTTGCCACCATTTTAGTGCAGACCAGGTTGAGGTCCCTGGTGTGGTTATTAGAGGATGATGTGGGTTTACTTTCTGGAGCGTTATTCCACATGTTCACCACAGACACTAAGAGATTGTATAAACGCAGTGCAGTCATTGACCAGACAGGCTTTGTGTAAGCTCAGCTTTGTTCAACCCCTACTGCAGACATGGACAGACTTGTTGCACCCAGCTCAACTCAGTCAGCTTACAAAAACCCAGTCCTGCTTCTAACTCTACTCCTGTATTCCCACCAGCTCCTCCAGTTACAGCCCAGTATACTTGGCTATCTACCGCATGTCAGTACCCTGTTCCCACTCGCTGCACCTATCCTGCCTTTAACCCCTGTTAAAAAGCCCTCTGTAGCAACTGCTCCCTCTCCTGTTCCCATCCTCCAGTTTTTCTCTGTCTCCAGCTGCTCCATTCGTTTGCAGACCTGCGTTTACTTGCAGTGCTCCAGTAGTTAAAACCAGAAAAAAGCAAAAATTCTTTCCAAACCAATACCATCCTGCCAGTATCCAAACCGGTGAACCTGCCTTCCGTGACTCAGCCTGAAGCCTCTACTCAGCCGGATGCCTCTCTTCAGCAGCCGGATGCCTCTCCTCAGCCTGATGCCTCTCCTCAGCCTGAAGCCTCTCCTCAGCCTGAAGCCTCTCCTCAGCCTGATGCCTCTCCTCAGCCTGATGCCTCTCCTCAGCCTGATGCCTCTCCTCAGCCTGAATGCCTCTCCTCAGCCTGAAGCCTCTCCTCAGCCTGAAGCCTCTCCTCAGCCTGAAGCCTCTCCTCAGCCTGATGCCTGCATTCAGCCTGATGCCGCTACTCAGCATGATGAACTGATCCAGCCCGACGATCCTATTAGGCCAGTTGACTCGATGCCTGCTGTTGATCCAGATGATCCAGTACCTGATCCAGTGCCCGCTGTCGTGCCAATTGACTCAGAGCCCGCTGTCATACCTGGTGACCCAGTGCCGCTGTCATACCTGGTGACCCGATGCCCGCTGTCGAGCCAGACAATCCGATACCTGATGACCCGGTGCCCACTGTCGTGCCTGTTGACTCGGAGCCCACTGTCTTGCCCAGACGACTCGGTGCCCGCTGTTCCGCCAGTCGACTTCGGTGCCCGCAGTCTTGCCAGACGACTCGGTGCCCGCATCCTTCTTGTCTTGCCAGACGACTCGGTGCCCGCAGTCTTGCCAGACGACTCGGTGCCCCGCAGTCTTGCCAGACGACTCGGTGCCCGCTGTTCCGCCAGTTGACTCGGTGCCCGCAGTCTTGCCAGATGACTCGGTGCCCGCAGTCTTGCCAGACGACTCGGTGCCCGCAGTCTTGCCTAGACGACTCGGTGCCCGCAGCCTTGCCAGACGACTCGGTACCCGCAGCCTTGCCCAGACGACTCGGTGCCGCAGTCCCGCCAGTTGACTCGATGCCCGCTGTTTCCGCCAGTTTTGACTCGGTGCCGCAGTCTTGCCAGACGACTCGGTGCCCGCAGTCTTGCCAGACGACTCGGTGCCCGCAGTCTTGCCAGACGACTCGGTGCCCGCAGTCTTGCCAGACGACTCGGTGCCCCCCCCCGCTGTCCGCCAGACGACTCCAGACGATCTTCCGTGCCCACAGTCTTGCCAGACGACTCGGTGCCCGCAGTCTTGCCAGACGACTCGGTGCCCGCAGCCTTGCCAGACGACTCGGGTACCGCAGCCTTGCCAGACGACTTGGTGCCCGCAGTCCCCGCCAGTTGACTCGATGCCCGCTGTTCCGCAGTTGACTCGGTGCCCGCAGTCTTGCCAGACGACTCGGGTGCCCGCAGTCTTGCCAGACGACTCGGTGCCCGCAGTCTTGCCAGTTGACTCGATGCCAGTTTGAGACTCAGTCTTTGCCAGTTGACTCGATGCCCGCAGTCTTGCCAGTTGACTCGATGCCCGCATCTTGCCAGACGACTCGGTGCCCGCAGTCTTGCCAGACGACTCGGTGCCTGCTGTTCCGCCAGTTGACTCGATGCCATGCTGTTCCGCCAGTTGACTCGCTTTGCCCGCAGTCTTGCCAGTTGACTCGATGCTCGCAGTCTTGCCAGTTGACTCGATGCCCGCAGTCTTGCCAGACGACTCGGTGCCCGCAGTCTTGCCAGACGACTCGGTGCCCGCTGTTCCGCCAGTTGACTCGATGCCCGCTGTTCCGCCAGTTGACTCGGTGCCCGCAGTCTTGCCAGACGACTCGGTGCCCACTGTCGTGCCTGGTGACTCGGTGCCCGCCGCTTCGTCTGGGGGCCCGAGACCTGTCGCTCCGTCTGGGGGTCCGGCGCCAGCCGCTCCGCCTGGGGGCCCGATGCCTGTCGCCCCGCCTGTGGGCCCGATGCCTGTCAGACCCCCTGTGGCCCGATGCCTGTCGCCCCCGCCTGGGGGCCCGATGCCTGTTGCTCCGCCTGGGGGCCCGGTGCCTGTCGTCCCGCCTGGGGGCCCGGTGCCTGTCGTCCCGCCTGGGGGCAGCCCCGTGCCTGTCGCCCCGCGCTGGGGGCCCGGTGCCTGTCACCCCGCCCGGGGGCAGGTGCCTGTCGCCCCGCCCGCGGGGGGCCCGGTGCCTGTCGCTCCGCCTGGTGGCCCGCTGCCTGCTGCTTCGCCTGGTAGCCCGATGTGCCTCTGCCCGGAGTCCAGCCCGATGTGCCTCTGCCCGATGTCCAGCCTCGATGTGCCCCTGCCGGAGTCCAGCCCGATGTGCCTCTGCCCGGAGTCCAGCCCGATGTGCCTCGGCCCGGAGTGCCTCTGCCCGGAGTCCAGCCCGATGTGTGCCTCTGCCCGGAGTCCAGCCCGATGTGCCTCTGCCCGGAGTCCAGCCCGATGTGCCTCTGCCCGGAGTCCAGCCCGATGTGCCTCTGCCCGGTGTACCTGGCCTCTGCCCGGAGTCCTGCCCGGTGGTGCCAGTCTTTGATATCCCGCCAGTTACCAGACCCGGGCGGTGGAACATTTTTCCCAGCTAGGACTGTTTGGAGCGTCCTGAGGCCGCTCCTTGAGGGGGGGGTACTGTCAGGAATGGACTGGCCAGCTATGGTGGGACTCACCTGCCTTTTGATCTGCAGTACCAGGGCTGGCCAGCGGGTGTTCCCAGCAATCAGAGACTCAACTTTGCAGCCAGCTAACACCTGTAACTGATTATGCTGGGGTATTTAAGGGATGGCCAGACCCACAGACTCTGCCTTGGTGTGTGTTTGTCCTGGGCCCTGCATCCTGTTTCTGTCCTGCATCCTGTTTTCTGTCCTGCATCCTGTTTCTGAACCGCTGCTGACTTCTCCTGCTCTGATCCCGGCTCGCTCCTGACCATCCCTCTGTCTGACCCTCTGTACCACGCTGCTTGCTACCTGTTTTGATCCCTGGCTTGTGACCCTGACCAATCTCCGCTTGCTCCCCCTGTACCTACCTGCCCTATTGATATTGACCCGGCCTGCCTGACGACGCTTGCTTGTATGTACTGTTATCTGTGGGTGGTTTGGTTTGGTTTGTTTGCACTGTATTATTATGTTTTAGTATTGCACTGCGTTTTATGTTTGTATTGTTAGTGTTAATAAATTATATTGTTTATAACATATCTGAGGTCTGCGTTTCCCTGCGTCAGTCACACATCTCTGGTCACACCTGGGAGCCCTGACACAAAGTATTGGTCCGGACAGCAGACAGGAACATCAGGCTTAGGGCCTTGGTCAGATAAGACCTGGGCACAGGGGTAGAGGCTTCTTCCCATCCAATCTCTTCGAAACCTCCAGACAAATAGACCCTGATCTGGGAATTACAAAACCTAGAGAAAAAACAAAAAAACTGTTTTTCTCTACTTTGAACTCTACTCTGAAGCCCCTCACATATGTAAGACCCCTATCTTGAATTCCACTACTACAATAGCAGAGTAATAGATCAGTCCAAGCGCAGGCAAAAAACATAGTCAATTAACAGACTGAGGTCAGTGCAGGTTAAAGGCAAAAAAGTGGTTGATAAACAATCCAGACGGCAGGCAGAGGCATAGCCAATAAACAAGCCAGGGTGAGTTCAGGTTGAAGGCAGAAACATGGTTTGTCAATACAGCAGAAAAATTGCAGATGGCAGGCAGAGGCATAGCAGATAAGCATGCCAGGGTCAGTTAAGTTTAAGGCAGTGGCATGGTTGGTCAATGCAGCAGACAAATGATCAGCACAGGTATTAAAAACTGAGGATATGGCAGGTTGTTAGAAATATGGACTAATATTTTAGTGACGTGTGATAACGTCAGAAGCAGTCTCCAATGCATAGATCTGGTTGGGAGGAACATTTGGGACAATGAAAACTGTGTCTCTTCTAACTCCCACTCTGCTGCATACCCGATATCTTTTTTGGCATCTTCGGCCTCCTTCTGTTGGTGGAATGTTCTCAGCAAAATGGTGCTCATGAAGTCTGCTCACAGAATCAGAGCAAATGTTTTTTTGGGGGGGGGTCCTTTCTAGTAGATAAGGGAATGATGATTTCTTCTATATATTTGAGAAAGGTGGTGAGTCTTGCCATAGATTTGTGGTAGGTGACATACACATTATAAATGGCCAAATGAATAAGATAAATTGCAACTTTTTTATAACAGAAATGGGACGTTATCCTCTCCCCCATGTAGAGATTATGATTTTGGACTCACGCAGGCTTTTAGATGGGACCGTGTTTTATGGAAATTTCCATTGTGGTGTCATTGTGCATGGTGGACAGGACTTGCTTGTTCCCCACTTTGTAGCCTTGTGATCACTAAACTTTGTGGGAAGCCTTTCACATTTGTTTGGGTGGCCAAGGTCAAGGTACAGGTGGTAAAAAGGGGCAGACTTGTACAGGTTGATGTGATAACCCTTTTTAAAAAGTGGACATGCCAAGTCACAGACAATTTTTCCACTTGCGCTGTAGGCTGGACACTCAGAGGGCTGGAGCTGTGAATCTTTGCCTTCATACACGCGTTGCTGGTGGCTTCCTGGCTTTCAGAGATCCTTATTCTTTTTGGAGGGACCCTTTACTCCTCTAACGCAGTCGCTGATCCCTTACATTCGACGAGTTCATACACCGAATCAGAATTGGATGGTGAGAGCTGCCCGTTGCTCTCATCCGTCATACTGAGGATTTAAAATGCCTCCTCACTAATGTGATTTTTTTTTTTACATAGCTACCTCTGGTAACACTGGGACAGGTAGACTGCTGATGGTGGGAGTGTGACGGGTACCCTGCTGTTGGGCAGCTGAAGGACAGGTTCTCTGCTGATGGGCTGTTTTGTGATGGGCACTTTGGTGATCGGCAGAACTGATGGACGATGGGTACACTGCTGATGGGCACTGATGGGTGACAGGTAAACTGCTGATGGGCAACAGTTGAACTGATGTGCAACAGGTACACTGCTGATGGGCACTGATGGGTGACAGGTAAACTGCTGATGGGCAACAGTTGAACTGATGTGCAACAGGTACACTGCTGATGAGTGATGTGCACTAATTGGCACTGATGGATGGCAGTAACACTGCTGATGGGGGACAGATTCACTGATGGGCACTGATGGGTGACAGTAACACTGCTGATGGGGGACATATACATTGATGGTTACTAATGGGTGACAGTAACACTGCTGATGAGTGACAGGTACACTGATGGGCAACAGCTACACTGCTGATGAGCATATGGACGATGTGACAGGAGGTCTTTACTGTAGGTGTTGTACAGTACACTATACAGTATTCAGATCGGTAACTCACAGTTCCCTGGCTCTCTTCTCCTCACACAGGATCTGTGTGTGAGGAGAAGAAGCCAGTAACAGTGAGTTACCGGTCTTTGTTTACATTTGTGATCGGCTGTGATTGGACATAGCTGATCACATGGTAAAGAGCCACTGTCATTGGCTCTTTACCTCAATCGGTGATGCACTGTGTCCGAGGGGCACAGCTCACCACTGATCGCCATGATGTGAGCCCCCAGGGGCGCACATGTGTGGCAAGAATGGAGGAGGACTTCATATGATGTCCTCCCAGAACAAGAGTACAATACAGCAGGTGGGAACTGGTTAATTCAGTCACCATAGAGAAATTGCAAAACCGTCTTTAGAGGTATTTCAAACCCTTCCCCTGTTTTTCTTCTATCTTAAGGCATCTCACCAGTTTTACAAAGGAAGGATAAAAAAAACCTGAACAAAGGTCATCTTGTTTTTTGGAAACGTGTGGAGAAGGTTGGTGGCCTGAGGAAGCTCCAGACCAATTTACTGGTTTTAGAAGGAAAAATGTACATTGCCAGAATAGATGATCCTTGCACAAGGAGAGTTCAAACAACTCCTTTAGAGTGTTTTGATAACATGCTTGATAAATTGTGACAATGTGTTCATCATCATCCTAATCACTGACTGAACAAAGCAAGATCCATACAATTATGTTTATTCACATCTTCTTCTTTGGAAGAGTTTGGTGGAACTTGTATTTACCGATATTATGAGTTGGCATTTGTTTTCCTGCGAAACAGAAGGAAGGCTAAAACAATGAGCTTGTTTGAGCTTGTTCAATGACTATTAGGCAGCAGTGCAGTGCCTCATCCACACTGAAGCTCAGTATCTCAGTAATAATAAATTGTCAGTGGCAGCCACCATCCATGATGTTGCACTGCTTCCCCACTGAAAGTGATTTACACTTCATAAGCTGCCCCAAAGACCAGTAGAGAGGTTCCCTGATAAACAATGCATTTAGCAGGTGAACACAGGGACCTCATCCCAGTGAAGCAGGATGGACAGCCCAAAGTTTATTCAGACCAGGTAGGAGATAAGTGCCAATTTCCTGGATCCTATCCCTTCACAGAGTCAGTGAAAACAACTCGTTTAGAGTTTCTTAACTATGTACTTATTGAAATGAGACAACCTGTTGGTACTCATCATCTTAATCATTGACTGACTGAACAAAGCAGGATTCATAAAGTCATGTTGATGTCCTCCTCTTTGGGGGAGTCTAAAGAGGATTGTTTTGCCTGGGAATGCTATGAGACTATTCATTACCAGAATATTCACTCGCCGGCCACTTTATTAGGTACACCTGTTCAATTGCTTGGTAACACAAATTGCTAATCAGCCAATCACATAGCAACAACCCAGTGCATTTAGCAGCTAGACGACTAGTGAAGATGACTTCCTGAAGTTCAAACCAAGCATCAGAATAGGGAAGAAAAGGGATTTAAGTGATTTTGAATGTGGCATGGTTGTTGGTGCCAGACGAGCTGGTCAAAGTATTTCAAAAACTGCTGATCTACTGGGATTTTCACGCACATCCATCTCTAAGGTTTACAGAGAATGGTCTGAAAAAGAGAAAATACCCAGTGAGTGGCAGTTGTGTGGATGGAAATGCCTTGTTGATGTCAGAACTCAGAGGAGA